GTGTGTGTGTGTGTGTGTGTGTGTGTGTGTGTGTGTGTGCGTGCGCGAGTTGGCACCGCCCTGACTGAAACGTGCCCCATGAGTGGCAGACTGGCTCAGGCTGTCCGGCTGGGAGGGAACAGAGCCCATTGCAGGGCCACCTCCCCGACAACACACACTCACACACACCTAATCCTATGCGCATTCCAGGCCGAGCATCTTCAGTCTCATTCCAAACTACCTGCTCTAAAAGAACAAAAAGAGAAAAGAAAAGAAAGACGAAAGAAAGAGTCAAGAGGTTTGGTTAGTGATACACAGTTGGGTTTAAAATCATTTACAGCTAACTTCATGGCGGAATGGCAGCAATTTAAAAGTATGCATTTAAGATAACTTTTGTTTGGTTGACTTAAAGAAAAAACGAAAAATAATCACAAAACACTGTGAAAATGAAAAGCAAACTATAAACTCTGCTGATGTGAAACCTCTGTCAGTCAATGCTGACACACACACACACACACACACACACACCATGTTGCGCTACCAGCGCACACTCACACCGACCTCCACACACACACACACACACACACACAACAAAATGCATCCACACAAACCACCTTGAATCATGGCACCTCTCATCATTCTCATAAGTGTCTGAAAATAAGGAAGTGCTATAACTAACCCCCCCCCAACAAATAATCACCTCCTGGGAGGCAATGAGATGAGTTAGGGAAAAAAAAATAGCAATCTTGTCTTTCAAAACGAAAAAGGGGAAAAAATATTTTAAGGGGGCAATGAATTCCATGGAGCTGAATAGGATGTTGGTACATGTTTTACTAAAGGAAATATAATGGCAGACTATTATTAGATCACATTAATCACGAGTGTGCCAAAGGCAGTGACAGCCGCGCTGAAAAGGATTGAAAACGCTGGTAATGGATATAAATTACCCATTGTGTGATAAAAGGATTTTTTTTCTTTGCTAAGAAGGTAAAAAAGGAATAAAAACACTGAAAGGGCCGCTAAAACGGGCGCGTACATATTTGGCGCGTGTGTATACGCATGTGAGTGTCCTGCTCGTCTGCGAGTGTGTAATGTGTAATAATACGGGGTTATCAGCGCAGGATTAAAATTTTAAGGGAATCAGATAGTGACAGTGAGGCCTCGCATTAAAAGGCGCCGGCGACAGAAAAGAGGGAAGGATTAAAAACAGATTAAATTGGTTTGTAGTGACGGAGATGAAAGCAAGGAGGAAGAGAGGGTGGGGGGGGGGAGTGTGTTTTGACAGAGGTCTGTCGGGCTTTTGGCACGGTGATAATGAGTCACATCTCCCGTGCACTGTTATTTATCGCCGACTTGGCTCACAAACAAAAGATCAATAATTTTGAGCAAATCTAATGTTGTCCTCGCCGCTAATGCGGTCGTCCATCACATCTGCCATCTCCACCGAGGAGATGGACTGATTCCCTGTTTATTTGGAGATCAAATGCAATTATATCACATGGTTCTAATAACAGAGGAACCCCCCCCCCCCACCACCACCACCACCATCCTCCCGACGCGAATATGTGCGTCGCCTTGGATCATGCCCATGCATATGTATATATAGACGCACAGACATGCACAAAGGTGTCACGTATGTGTAAATGATAATATATGTATGGAATGGGCGATGGGTTGCCGGGCCATTTTTTCGCATCAATCTTCATTTTCTCCCGCAGACCCTGCCTTTGAAATATGAAGTGTGTCAACCGCCCGTCCCCCTCCCGCGCAACACAGGAGGCGCACAAACATCCGTCAACAGCAACGCAACCCGACGTTCGCCAGTTAGCCCTGCAGCACGGAGAGATGAGAAGACAGCAGATCCTTCACTGACAACTAGCCCTGGGTGAGACACTTTCCAGCCACCTGAACTCAATCAGGCCCCGGCGGAGGCGGCATTTGGGTATTTCATTTCATCTCCGTCCCCTTAGTCACTCGAGGTGCGCTCTTGATTTATCTTGCGACGCCGGGAAAGGCAAATGGCGTCCGGAATCTGACATTGCTTTTGTGGTTATCGACAAAGCAGCTGCTTGTTTTTTTTGGGGGGCTCTTTCGACGTGGTTGAGCAGACACACTAATATGAGGGCCATCGGAGGTTTAATCCACTGCATCCACAGTGCACATGATATGCACCCCTCTCCGGGTGATGTCTACCAACTGTTGGCTGTGTACGCGAACCATTTGGGGACCTTCTCCGCCGTCTTTGGCACGCCCGAGATCAAACGCACTGACTGTAAAGCCAGTGGCAGGTGTAAGGCACTAAGCTCCTTCCCCCTTCTCCCTGGGTGAGGTGTGAGGAGCAAAACAATGACAGACAAAGGTCACCTGGCCCACTACGACCCACCCGCGGAGGTGTTGACCTGTCAAAAGCACCCCCGAGGCAGGAAGAAGAAAGGAGGCAAGGAAAGAAGGAAGGAAGAGATAGAAAGAAGAGTCTGCAACCAGAGCAGAGACACTGAAGCTGCAACCAAGGAAATGACAAATATGTACAAAACCTTTTCTTGTGGGATATTATGGGGTTATCAGAGTCATATTAGCTTCGGAACCTCTTTCAAAGTGACATCAGGAAGGGTTTTTTCACTTGATAACAAGTGCGAATAAAATGTTCCAGGGCTTGGGTGACCTTTTTTAAATGTTTTATTATTTTTAATAGATTGAGATAGATGTATTTACCTGATGTGTTGCGATACAAATAATGTTGTCCGCACATCAAACCAAAGATGTTGAATTCAAAACAATAGAAAGGAAATACTTTTGGTTCAAAAGCAATGAATCAACGATCTC